GTGTGTGTGTGTGTGTGTGTGTGTGTGTGTGTGTGTGTGTGTGTGTGCGCACAAGCCCCACATCAGCACTTGCAGCTGTGTCTCTCAGCTTGTCTCCACATGATGTATAAATAAAGCTATGTTACTATAAATAAAACATCCTCAGTGTATTCGCCGATGAATAGATGGACTCCAATTAAATAGAATTAAATGAAATTCTGTTTGAGGCCCAAAGATGTCAAATTATTCCAATTCACAAAAAAAGCAAATTAAAAAAATAATAAATATTGAAAAATGTTTGTGTGGCAGAATTTGACTTTCCTCTTTCAAAAACTCATTAATCATCTCACGCTTTCGAGTCTGCAAGAGACAGGAAGTTTTGTCACCCTGATGAAACACACTCTCACACACACGCACCAGGTCGAGTGTGTGTGGCCTTCAGTTGATAATGGCCATCCCCCATGTAGAATACATCCTCTCTACTTCCCTATCTCCACTTCATCCCTGTCACACGGAGCGCAATCCCAGACTGAGTCCAAGACGCCTCCACTTGCTTTAACTGTTGTTGTTTTAACAGAGCTCACCAAGCAGCCCATAAACCTCGAGTCAACACCTCATGTTGTGATCTACCTTCCCTGCAGCTTAAAGCCTTGACATATCCAAATAAGGGCAAAAGCACAGAGCTGGGAGCCGTGGCTGCGGGGCCCCGTGTGTGTCCCTTGTGAGTGTGAAAACGAAGGGGCGTGCTTCGCTCAGACAACGAGATGGCACGGGGGTGGAGCTGTGTGGTTGTGGAAGTCTTGCAGCGCTGGGCCCAGTCAGTTCTCGGTTTTGTTTTTAGTTTGCGGCTCTCTCGTGAAATGACTCCCCCCCCCCCCCACACACACACACACACACACACACACACATGTAGTTTGAAGAGAAAAGAGGTTCAAATCACATGGGGGGAGGGAGGGGGAGGACAGTGATAAAAAAAACTGCACTTTGGTGTGGAGTTCTTTTGTTTTATGCAGCAGAAAAGGCCACTCGTCCACTCCTGCGCTCGGTTTTGCATTGAGGTAAAAACCCACATGGAGGCGTACTGACTGAGTGGCGCTTTTTTATTTTTCTCTCATTTGAGTATAAACTGTCTCCAACCACTTGAGGTCGATTCTCTGTTCCCCTTGTGATGGAAAGAATGAGACGTCTTCTGTGCATTTGAATAACAGTGACATTTGCTTTGTAGTTTTTTAACTTCAGTTCCCTTTTTTTTTTTTGAGTAAGGAAAGTTCTGTTCAAAACTGCAAAGAGATTGATGTAGGTCTTGTCCAATGGATGATGGTGTTACTGAGGTTCTGTATTTAAGATGCAGTTCATCACACGGTTTGTTTGTTTTTACTTGTGAAATGTCTGCATTCCAGACAGACATGATGGGATTTCTTAAATTGAGCTGATAATCCTTTCATACTGTGAGTCGATGAACTCTTTGCGGCTGCACATGCGAGAATCATTTCATAAAGAGGTCTTCCTGCTTTGACTCACACGGGGGTATCCCAGCATGCATTCTGCACAAGATGGAGAAACAACCCTGAATAGATCATCAAACAGCCACTCGCACTTCCTATTTACGCTTTCGGTGTCTCTGTTCCACCTGAGCTGCATCACACAAACACAAAGAGAACCAGAACAATGTTGTCCTCTGCAGGACATTCAGCATCCATAATACTACTAACAAACTTTAATCACTTCTGAAGTTGTCAGCAAACAACAAAATACTGTTAATAGTGCTCACTTAATACGTAACATCACACATTAGTACCTAAAAGTCAACTGCTGTCCGTTGTGGTCCTCTTGTCCTTAATGTGGCAGCAAGTCGGCCCAACAAAAAGTGAACTGAGACATTTTAACAATTGCCACATGAGATAATAATAATACACCTGTTACAAGTTATTTAGTAACGCTGCCTCTGCGTGCTGATCTTCCTGTTGAACTTGATGAGAAAGTTATCACAGCCAATCATGAATGATCCATTTAAAGTGTTAAAAAAAGACCTGCAACCGCCATTAAGAGAACCTTAATGGAACCTTGGAACCTTATGAAACGTGGGTAGCAACTTAAACTCTGCTACAGAGCTGATCTCCTCACAGGCTGTTGGAATGAGACTTCTAGTGGAAACGTGGCTGCGGTGTCACGGCCTGCTAAGGGCCGACAAATCTACATGTTGCACTCCTCCGCATCCTGCAGCGCGAGGCGCCGTATGAAGGCAGCACTGCTGCAGGACGAGGATCAAATATTGTATTTAATACCTGGTGTTTGTTCAGCCACGGTATGTTTGCAGAGATACATTACATAAGTAGTCATTATATCACCGTTCAAAGTAGATGGATTAAATCCTCTCCTGGTATTTTAACAATATTTGAAATAGTGAATAAGTACTGTTTTAAAAAATAAAGCTGTTGCATATGTTTGCATTTTTAACTCCCTGCTGGGAATAAAAATATGAATTTAATTTTAGCGGGGGGGGCAAATTCTCATCTGTAAGTCATAAGACGGCCCTTTAAATTCCTTTCATGCATACACATCTTTCTGTGCCCCACACGTTGGACCGATAATTATGAATGTCTGACAATATTATTATGTGAGGTATGATGCTGCACCATAGCCTCGGTTGACTCACAAACCATGCCCTGTAACCCTCATCTAATAAGACAATAAGCAAGAGGTCACTGTGCTCCCTTCCAGAGTTTTAAGGAGTCCCCTGTGTGCATGACCCCGGTCCATCAGGTTACAGTAAATTAGACAATGCCCAGAGCCTCGAGCAATAAACACATCTTCCTCAAGAGTAATAGAAGTCCACCTATAAGAGTGCAATAGCCCCACATCTTATTACAGACTAGTGTACATTGAAACAGCAGCCAAAGAAGTGATGGAAACTAGAAAGCAATTCAAACTTAACCAGAGAAACTATTTATGAGCCGATAGGTGAGAATAATGCAAAGGTTTGGCTGATGGTTCCCCCTACTGGCAATGTTTGGTACTGCCTGTAATTCCAGCACTGTGTAAAGCACCATCTTGCCACCCAAATAAATAAGTACAGGGGTGTTGTATTAGCATTTGTACAAAGCAAAAGTGGTAAGATGGTTTAGTTCCTCCTCTCTGGTGTTTCAAATCAGTCGCTGGGTCAGCAGACCTCAGTGATTCTCTGTGAATACAATGAACTCTCACTTTTCAGTGGGAAATTGAGACACGGATCAGAATGAGGTTTTGGTTGTGATTTTAATTCTGTATATTATAGCGAGAATACAGCAGCAGAGGTAATTACTTTTGCAGGTATGTGGTCATCATCCAAAGGAGTGGAGGGATTTGATTTGTGAACTGATGAATGTTCTTAATGAAAAGTTTGAGATCACCAACGGCATTACAACTCATGATGGGGACACGGACATCTCCACAAGATTCAAAAATCCACTTTGTAAATTAAGTTAGGACTTATCTCTCTCTCTCTACACACCAATTTGATGTATTATGCAAAAACAAGTTGATGATGAATGTGTGTGATATGTACACTGTAGACCTTGATGGGTTTTGTTTGGTACGAGTTATTTCGGGGGGGAAAGTATTAAGCTGTTTTTTAGCAACAAATTCTGGCTATTGTTGATTTCTTCCAGTGTGCTGCAGCATCTTTTTTTTTTTATCAAATATGTGACACTCACATCAGTTCACTGTCAACTGAATGCTGAATCAGCAAATATCACAGTGTTGACTGTGCTAAAGACAATAACTCACATTTCTTATAAAAAGTCCTTTATTTTTTTCCTCAATTATCCAAGGAAATACAAAATACCCACTTCTTCTCCCCTATAAGCAGCCATGCTGATATTACCAATCACACACACACAAACTGAACAGTTGAAGGGCAGTTCCTTCATCACAGACGTGATCCAATGCAGTCCCAGCAGTGTGACGCCGCTTTGGTGTGGCTGAACAGACAACTGGAAGCCGTCCGGTTTATGTCTTCACTGCTGTGTCTCTGGATTTGTAGATCACTCCTCTGCTTTTCAACTCTCTCACCACACCTTCGGAAAAGGAGAATTACAAATGCAATAATAAGGAAGGAATTCCAAATCAAGAAAAAGCCAAACATGTAATTCCCTGCGTATAGAGGCAGATTAGTTTAGATAAAGTGTACCTGGAGGTAGTCTGCCTGTCACTGACACTGCATACACACCTGGCTTGAAGTTGCCTGTAGGATGGAGCAAAAACAACATACACAAATGTTATTTATCTCAACAGCATTTGGGTATACCAACTGTAAAACCGCATGTATCCGTTTATAGAGTAAATAAGGTCCTCAATGACATAATATTGATACTTTTTGTCTTCTTCCCTTACTTTAGAGTTCCTCTACTCCATCATGGTCAAAATGGATTAATGCACACATCCTTACCTATCCTCTGCCATTTAGCTACCCAGCTGTCCTCGGGACTCATCATGGATACCACACTGTGGACATACAGACGGGAATGGTAAACATCCAGAAAACAACGGGAAAGGTTGATTTATTATTTAAATAATCGATGCTGAATCAACGTTTACCCATCAAATGAGGAACTAGTGCATTCATAAACCATCTCCCGGTTCCCCTTCATCTGGAGGTACGACTCACAGTTGTCACAGCCGTCGTATTCAAACTGGTCGATGGTCTAAAGAAAGCCAGAGGAGGGAACACTTGAATCAAGGACAATAAGAGTCAAGAATGGATACAAACACGTGAAGTAGCACACAAGCTACTTCACGTACCAACAGACAGGATACGTTTGAATTTAGTTAGTAGACGAACAAACTAGACCAAGGAACGGGTTCAGTATGTGTATTGGTATTATTAAGTAAATAAAGGTAACCGTGAAAGCATTACTTTAGAGTTTACATTAATTTGTTTGACAACAGAAGACAAATACAGCGCGCAGGATGCGGCTACATGTTAGCAGGGACGCTAGTTTGAGCGTTTACCTTCACTAAAGAACAAAGAAGACAGGCTCGCAGATGGCGAAGGTCTTTGGGGACCGTTTCCAAAGCCATTATGTCCAGCTCCCGGACAAAACACTAGTGTAATACTGAAATATCAACCGGATTAATGTTTTGAATCATTCCAGTCGCCGGGGAATTACGTCACCGACTGGAGGGCCTTGTTGACCCAGCAGAGGGGTCCATATTGTGCGCCTGTGTAAAAATAGTTATATCTCTATTACTTAACACAATTATTTCAGTTACAGGGATTATGTTTGAGTTGTTATGCATAGTCACATACAGTATATTAGTTCCACTATGTCCTAAAACGTGGCATGCAAATACTAAACGTTGACTGATGTATTTGGTCATGCATACTTGTAATTCAACCATTTCAACCATCGGGATCCAGAACAGTGAAAACGTTTTGATTATACTAAAATAATAGATGTTTAAATGCAAAAGCAAATACTTCTTATGGATGGATAAACCGAGAAGTGGAGGATAATTACTTTTTTGTATCTCTAAATGAAGACCATCTGGATACTTAAAAAAAAAAAAAAATCATATACCTAACTTTAATCCAAACAGATTCTAGCATTTGGACTCACCGGCTCCTGTTAGTCATTTTAAGATCCTGTGTATTCCCTTGACTGTTGATAATGCTGCAGTGATTATCTCCATGATAGAGCCCTTTGATCCACACTCACAATTTATGTACAAAAAAAGTTTTCCTCTGGATCAGACATTCCTTACTAATCCTTACTTCTCTGTTAAATGAAATGGTTACTCCACGACCAACATTCACAAAATGTCTCCCTCTGTCGGTTTTTTGTTTTTAGTTTTTTTACTATAACTACATGCTTTTTAAATTAACTGTGACATTATCTGTTTTCATTTATAGTTTTCTTTATTATTATTATTGTCAATCATTAGCATTAGCTATTATTTTTTATGGAAAATGTTGGATCAATACTGAGATTTTTAATACAATTCAACGATGCCAAATAAAAATTCAATGGCGCACAGTTTACTTTTACTACATTTTGGCATATGAATATCCATCTATCCATCGATCCATTCACGTTGAATATCAATATCATGAGAAGGTTTTGCTCCCTTATTATTTTAATTCTTTAAAGTTTTCAAATAAGGGAATTGTAGCTCATTTGTGGTGTACAATAGCTAAATGCCTTTCCTAAAGTAACGTTGTGCTATACTTGAACTTTAATTTTATGATCGTTTGTTGATGTTACGTGAGTACATTTCAGAGTGAAACACTACTTTTACTTGACTGCATTGCTTTGACAGCGATTGATACTTTATGAAATTAAAAATGTTCATCCAAAGCGTCTTATATCTTTGAAAAGGTGACGTTATTTGTGAAAATACCCAAAACCAACTGCAAGCACTTCCATATTCTGTCATTAGTATAGGCCAATGATTTAATGTAAAATATATAATAAACAGCAGAAGGGAAAAGTCTGCAAAAGGGTCGCGTTTACTTTTGATACGTATTATGCTGCTAATACTTCTGTACACCTAAGTAATATTCTGAATGCAGGACTTGAACTTATCTCGGAGTATTTTTAAATGGTAGCAGTGGACTTGATCCCCTCCCCCCAAAAAAGACGTGTTCTAATGAACACACAAACCTGCGTCAGACGATGTCATAAACTGTCCTCTCGAGCGCTTTATTACCGAAGAACGTTACAACTCCAACAGCTTCAACGGTTCGGGAACTTTCAACGTTTGTGAGATCCGGAGTGAGACATGTTTGCAGACCCAGGTAAAGTCACAGCTCACCTCTCATGGAGTTTTTTTCTTGGTGTGTTATGACCCCCCAAAAATACAACGCTATGTCGACATAATTCTATGCGACTTTACTCAAAAGCTGACTGCGCAAAAGATCATTTAAAATACAGAGTAGTTGCCGTTAGTTGGGGAGCTAACGTTAGCTAATGCTAACTTAGCTTACCAGTAACGTTAACACTAAGTTAGCATTTTCAGGTCTTGTGTATAGCGTTTTATGTATTATTTTTAAAGTTGACATTATTAATGACGTTAGAAGTCAAGTTATTTTAAATTAAGTAGTTAATGTGTGTCAGTATGGGGAGTTTTAAACATGAATGTTAGGAAAGTCCAATCAACTAAAGTTAATTAACTTCATAACGTGTAACGTTAGCTTAACTGGTCGTACCTGGGACATATGTATCGTTAACATTAACGAAAAGTGTCCGACTTACTAACGTTACCAGTTAATTATATTGTTATGAAGCAATTTAGCTTTCTAAGATTGACCTCAACCTATTTAACGTAAACTGATGACGCTTGGCCTGTTATTCAGACGAGGCTTCACTAACTTTTTATCCAATTCTACAGGCACAAGCATGGATGTGGGGGAAGATTGCCTCACCGAGAGCATCAATTCTAACAACTTCCCTGCCAAGCTATGGCGTCTGGTGAACAACCCGGTAAATAAAGCCATCTGGTGGGACAAAGATGGACTGGTAGTCGTCATTAATCAGAGCCTCGTCGAGCAACACGTCCTATCTCCTAGAAACAGCAGCAGCGCCTCGGACAACGCCGACACCTTCAAAACAGCCAACTTCTCGAGCTTTGTCCGTAATCTCAATCTGTACGGTTTCAAGACGTCCGGTACATACGACGACGTGCAGTATCGCTATTACTACCACCCGAACTTCAAGCGGGACCACCCCGAACTTGTGGCGAGTCTGAGGAGACTGACCGTCGTCAACAAGGCCAAGCTAGAAGCTGGTCTGGAGGTGAATCCTCGGACCCCGAGCCGATACCACCGATACAGTGGGGGCTGTGGTAGCGGAGATAAAGATGGTCAAATAGGCAAGTGTCACCGCATGACTGTCAGTGGGGAAGTAGCTTTAGATAGTGAAAACACAATGTAATGGTCACACACGTTTCCTTGTAGTGTTACAGTGAACACTGCTGCAAAAATCTAATTGGAAAGGGTCCATAAACCCCAACATTGAAAATCACTATGAATAACTATGATACGAACATCTAAATTGCCATTTTCACTCCACAATCCAGTGCTTTTTACGTTTCACTGTGTGGCCGTCTAACAGGTTGTTGTCATGCTTTGCTTCTTCCTGTTGCTGCAGGCAATCATTCACTGCCGAGCACCCCTCATCCGAAGTGGGCTCATCCTTACCGTCCAAACAAAGCTCCGGCTGTGACGGCTCACAATGGAACCCCAGTCCCACCGCCGTTCCTGCCGTGGGGCCGCGGTGCAGCTCTTTCGCCTACTGTCTTCGCTACAGACAAAGGGATACCCGTGACTTTGAGCCAGCACTACGCCGGAGAGGCCTCCAGCTCAAACGCTATGCTCATTCAGCAGAGTTTATTGCCCCGCTCAAACCACGGAAATCAGCCTGGCTACTATATGCCATGTGAGCATGACATGAGTTAACCTGTTAGGAGTTTGGGTGGAACAGTTATAAACCACACTATTTACATCACTTTACGAGTAGATTTTCTTTTTCAGCTACAATATACTTGTAATATACTAAAATATACTAATTTGTGTGTTGAATAAATGTGATTTTTAATTAGGAATGCAAAAATGTAGGTTTCAACACCAAACCTGAATCCTGCATTTTATAATCTCAAATAATATCTTTGTTTTTCTTCTTGAAGTTTGCCAGTGCTACCATCCGAACCTTGTGGCATCACAGATGGCAGGTGGTGGGCTTCAGAAAGGGTCCTATCCGACCCACAGTCATTACCAGGTAGGTGAATTTGACCGTATTCGCCCTGTCATGTAATCAATTACTCACACCAGAGCTGTAATTGGTCGAGGAGGATGGAGTTTGGTGAACACGTATCGTGTCTAGAGCATTTCTTTTTATGTCACTGTTTTAGGCAAGCTGTCCTGTGAATGTGTTGTGTCACGTGGACCGCAACCAGGACTCAAAGAACAAGGAACACCAGCAGGTGAAAAAATGTGACATTAACTTGGACACAATTTTCCAGATTGCAGATGAGGTGATGCAAACTCCGGCCAATAGCAGCCTGGTTAGAGTTGTGGCCCCGGTGAAGACGGGCCCTGTGTCACTGCCGTTCTCCATTAAAACCAACAACCCTGTCAGCGCCAGGAAGGCCAAACATTTGTCCTCTGGACCCATTGTGGTGTCTGTGAGAGGCAGGGCTGATCTACTCGCATTCAAACAGCAGGAGGGATCCGTGATTTCACCACCTGAGCAAATGCCCGAAGATGCCATAGTCAATGTAATGTATTTTTTTTACATTTGATAGGGTATTTATATTTACTAGAGAATGTGTAACAACCTTGCAGAATACCTAATCATTATTTGCTAATGTTTCCTCTGTGCTCGGGTAAGGTTACCAATGATGATGCAAAGGACACTGAGAATATAGATGTCGAGGCTGAGGACACTCGGACACCAGCAGCACAAGCACAAGAAGAGCACCTAAGATATTATTGAACATTTAGGGAGCGCGGTCAGAATGAAACTAGTGGAAGGAAAGGCATTCCAAATTTGAATGCAAGTTTAGTGACAGTTGGTTTTGTTTCTCGTTTTGATGTCAACTTGTTGATTTGATTGGCGACAGGGAGTCTTGGTTCACTGCAGGATGTGATCCTAAATGCTCACTATTACCAGACTTTATTCTCCATTTTTAATGATTCTTTATTGTACAAAAGTTTGTGGATGTGTTCAAATTTAAATCTTTTTTTTTTAAAGAATTGTAAAATTAGTTCTATGTTGTACATTTCTTTCTTTATTGGAAGTGACTTTGGAAAATGAAAATAATTTAAGTAACACTCAGAGTCCTATTTATATTGTTTGTTTAGAATTACTTGTACCACGGTACAATTTTAAAAATATATTGTAAAGCAAATTTTGACAGATTTTAATAGAGTAGCATCTAAAATGAGATGCTTTTAAAGAATTATTTAAAGTATAATTTATACAGATTTGCTGCAGTAGGGCTAACTCAGCATCTCCTTATTTTAGTGTACGGATGTTTGACTTCCTGTCTGCTTTTAATAGCATAATCGGTAGCATTTGTCAAAGCAAGTTGTAACAAACTGATGTAAATGGGGGAGAAAATATTGAATGAATTGCTTTAAAATATACTTGTTATATCTACTTGTGCTTGTTTGCTTTGTGATGGTTGCATTTCCCAACCTTTTTATTTTTTTCGCTGCATCACTTCAAAGGTTGTGTTTTTAAAATGTGTAACTTGACATGTTTTTAAAGGCAAGTGTGTAAAAGTCTAATAATTAAAGAGACACGTGTTTCCGATAATTCAGCCGGATGGTGTGTTGTGTACTTGTATTTCATTATTTCTTGTTGACACTTGTGTGCTGGGGTCTGCTGGTTCTGTGCACTGTGAACACTAGAGGGAGCCACTTCCTCGTGTTTAATCAGCGCTACGACTGTGCTCCGCCCTCAGTCTGCAATGTGGCCTTCAGGTGCTGCTCGGAAACTCCCCTTTAGTTATTACTTTAACTATTTTATTAATTCTGTAACATGCAAGTGTTTTGGCTTCAAAAGTAATCACGTGACAACTCTGGTATTTGAAAGCTGTTTATTAAAGATTACAAATTGACATCACATTGCGTAAAAATAGGAGTAATACCTGTCGTCACTTTGCTGTAATTTAACTAGTGTACCGGTAACAAAATTTGTTTACACGGTCTCCCATTTCGTTTTAAAGAACCCATGTGACAAAAATGCAGCCTTCCCCCAAACACATCTGGCCGTACACGTGCATCGTTTCAATAAAATCCCACTTTCTGACAGCACGGGAAGGCAGCAGGACAGTGAGCAGGTAGAGAGAGTGTCAATGAGATCCCAGGGGAGCGAGAGACAGTCCGGGAGGTAGACTTTTCGGACGGTGTTATAACTGTACACGGTGTCTCTCCGCCTTATCAATTTCATATGGAGCTCACAAGGAGTTTGGACCACTTTGATGTCGTACTTTTTGCAGTGTTTCTACGCTGTAATCGTTGATGGGTTTTGATAAACAAATCATTTTCCCTTCGGGTGTTCTCAGGAGGATCGTATCTAATTTCTTACAGTGCAGCGGAGGCACTGAACTCAGGGGAATGCCTGTGTGAGTGTGTGTATGAGTGTGTGTTTTTCCCACAGCGAGCTGGTTTAAATGAAGACCGACTGTAGAAAATAAGTAGATAGGTCTGTTAGAGAAGTCGCTTTGGTTCTCAGACTCAGTAGAATTACCAAGTTTTAAGTGAAGTAAGGCAACGGTCCATTTGCTCTGGTTAATAATTAGATAGAGCGGCTGCATTTAACAACTATTTGGTTGTAAAATATATATATATATATATATTACCCAACTTTTTGGCACTGCTGTCTGTCAACATGCCTTCTAACTTTCCGGCGGCAACCTGTAACCCAGCCTTTGAAGTTCAAGTTGTCGCCCTTTGCCTTTATTTTGTGTGTGGAATTATCCAGAAAACGTAGCGGTCCACGGGGATGTGCGGTCTTCTGACGCTGTGGGTTTTTTTTTGTGTCAACCCGTGTTTGGTGGTGAAAAAGTGCGATTTGTAAGGTCCAGTGAACGGCGTACACACTGTCATATTAATATCAGTTTGGATACGGATGAAGAAAGACCTGCCCTTCTTCTGGGAGAGAGAGAGAGAGAGAAGAGGATACAGTAGCTCGTCCAGACCGAGAAACACGCTACAAATGAGGACGTTTGCTGTGTCGTCTCGTGAAGACCCGGCTGCTGGAAGTCAACGCACACTTCAAGCCCCCGCACAACACGGCGTGTCTCCGCGGTGCCTTCTGAGCGTGCAGTCTCTTCACCACCCACATTACTGACACTGGATAAAAGTTCATTCGAGCTTATTGCATCTCTGAAAGGGTTTTTTCCTTCTTCCCTGTAACAACGCGCTTTGTTCCATGTGGGCACTCACCGGAGGGATAGGCTTTTTCCTACAACGGGCAGAGCTTGAATATTAACTCCCGGTGCTGAATGGAAGTTTTGGGACGTTCACGCGCCTGTATGATGGCAGTCCTCCGGCTTTAAAAGTTTGGATTGTATCCGTTTAGCGTTTTGTCGTCGAGGCAGGAAGAAGAAGCGGGACGTGTACTATATACATACATATATTAAATATTCTCTCCGCCTGTCTCTCCGCGGTGCTCGCCTGCTTTGAAGTCCACCATGTGCGGCCGGGCACCGCCGCTACAGCCGAGGCCATGACCGTCCCGCAGCGGCGCCTGTCCGGGCTCTGGCCGTGGCTGCTCATGGCGGCCCTGCAGGTAGTGCTGGGCCAGCCGGGCCTGGAGTCCGAGCGGCCGGTCCTCCGAGCGGTCATCAAGGTGTCACTGCTGAACCACGAGCTGACGGGGAAAACCATCACTCTGGAGGGGTTGTTCGTAGGAGGAAGTGCCGGCTACGCGGAGGGGAAACTAATGCAGGTAAGGCGTCTCTAGAGCATCTACACAAGGGCTCGCACTCATTCACCTCCAAAACATATAGCTTGCTGATAAAGAGAGGCTCACTGGACCGGGTCGCAGCGGGTGCGGGTGGGCACCTGTTGTCGTAGTGGCGCAGCTGTGTCACAGTTTCTACCGGCTCTCCTGCGAGTGTACAGCGCCCTCAAAGCTGTCAGGAATGCAATGCCTTGCTCACAGACACTTAAGCAATGTGGATGAGTGGGAATATGCGGACTTGACGGACAGCCTTGTCACATGGCATCCTTTGGGCAATGATATACTACATTGGTCTGTTGTTCTGGTTACATTTTGTCCCAATGGACTCTCCCATTGACACTTTGTTTATAGTAGATTGTACTGCTCTTGCATCTGTACATTTAGAGACTACTGAACTTGAATATGTATGGACATTGTTTTTGATAAAGTTAAATGGTGCCAACAGGAGAGTAATAATTCAACATTCATCGTCCATATATTAGAAAAAAGTTACGATATATATTTTTTAAAAACGAGAACACTGCCCTGTGTTTAAGTGAATCAATCCCTCTGTGGAGTGACTGTTGGCCCCACCTGCTTCTCTGACCTAAGAAAGCAGATTACCCAGAATCCACTGTGCTGATCAACCAAATGATGTTAACCACCTGAACTTGTTGCCATACGCCAATCAAAATGACTGTAGTGACCATCAGTTGCAGTGCGTTTGAACAACACTGATGACCTGCAGGTGTTGTTGAGGTCAGCTTGTTGTTCAGTCTATTTTTTGACTCAACCCTGGGTTCGGTTGAGGTTGCCAACCTTTTTTTTTTTATGCATGTGCCATTTCAAAGATGACAGCTTTGTTTTGCACTAACTATTCCTGGCATCTAATGCTCTTCCAACATTTTTAATATCAAGGTGTGGTCAAAGACTGTTATCCAACTCGGAAAATCATGTTCAGACTCATGCAAAACCTATAATTGAAGCAAAAGTTGAAGTTTTTTTTGTTGTTGCTTCTTTTTTTACCATTTAGAAAATGCAAAGCAAACGTAAAGTATGCACTCTATTCAGTGTGCATGTTTGCGATTCAGGAGTGGATTAAGCCTCCCGGAGCACTTTAAGCCTCGGCTGTGTCCATTTATTTACCGTCTCCGGAGAAACGGGACGACAGATCTGAGGTACTGCAGGATCTTGTCTCTTCTCACTCACTGGGCGTGGGAGGTTTTGTGAATGGCGAGCCAGATGCATGCAGTTAGCCATAATTGATGAGGATTTACATGGCTCCTCCGCAGAGAAAGCCCCAGTTTCAAACACTTGCGAACAGCCGCCGCTGCTTTTTCCCCCCCGCTCCGTGTTAAAGCCGATTTGTCTGTGTAGGATGTTGACAACATGTTATGGATGCTTATCACAGCACAGGTGAGATCAAAGACACTTCCAGCTCTCTGGGATTTCCAGCTTCCTTTATTTATTTTTTCTTCCCCCATAAAACCTTGCGCAGTATTTAGTAGCGTTCCAAACACAAAATGTTTAGGTAGAGGAAATACACGATATTAACCCCCTGTAGGTCTCAGCAGAGAGCTTCACCAACGCACTGTAAAGCAGCACATGGGTGACGGAGCGTGGTCAAGACTGTAGAAGGGCTATCTGCCTGGATTTCCTTTTAAAGTGTGAAGTTTTATTGTTTCCCCTACTCGGACAACTTCTTGTGGTTCTATTTGAGGCTATGAAGTTATAGGCTCTCTTTCCAGGCTGTTCCCACACTGCACAGAGGTGGTGTTATGCTGCAGGATGCTCTTTGTTGCAGCTTAGGCCTGTTCCAACAGGTCCCCATTGCCTCTGCAGGCTGCTTTACGGTCCCGCTTTATGTTCTCGTCTTCCAGTGGATGGGTGTGTGTGTGGTGGGGGGGGGGGGATGAAGGCTGGAAAGGAGGTTCAGTCCCATAGATAGATTATCTGCCTCACACACTGTCTCTGTCCTTTTATCTTTCTTTTAACTGATCCTCTGTGTTAAACGGATTGTTCACCCCAAAATCCAAAAGACATATATTTCCTCTTACCTGCGGCCCATATCTCCGAATCTAGGCAGGTTACACCAGAACAATCTGGACTGATTAACAGCGATACATGTAAGACGAAAAAAATATGTACTTTTAGATTTTGGGGTGAACTGTCCCTTTAAACATTGTTCATGTATTATCATGACCACAAAGCAAAGTTGTCCTCTAGTAAGCGTCATTTCCTGCACTTTAGGACTGTCAGAAGCTACCCCAGATGTCACTCTGGACCACGCTGAAGCATTGCATACGCTTTTCATAAGCCACAGTTATTACTTGTCATTTTGGCCCCATGCTGATATTTATCGGTCGCTTTGCAGTGGTATTAGAATTGTAACCTTTTGGAAGGGGATTTCTAGTAAAAGCGGCGCCTGGCATTCGAAGTCAAACAGAAATTCCGTTTTTTAAGTCGGTTCTCTCGTAAATCATCAGATCCTGTGTTGATCGTGTTTGCTAACACATGTAAGGACCAAGCTCTTGCCTGGGACAGAAAGAATCCCTAGTTTCCCCCTCAGAGTCATGAGACCTTGCTTTGGTACACATCTCCCTCTGATCTATTAAACTGTGATCTCCCTGGACGTGTGCCCTGTCCTGTGAATGAACAAGTTCATTGGAACACTGGCTGGGGTCCGGCCAGCGCTATTTGGACAAATACAAGTGCTGAGGAATTTTGACTCCCCCCCACCATACCACCACCCCCCCCCCCCCCCCCCCTTTCCCAAAACGAAGCTTGCATTATGACCAGAGGAGAAGTGCAAAGGCTTCTGGGATAACTTTGAACTTGACTGTCAACTGTCCTCTGTTGTGAGAAGGAGTCGGAGTTTATCTTCCAATGGGCACTGAGCCATAAAGGACATCATAAGGGCTCCACCTTTCTTTCTTTCTTTTTCTTAGCTTGAAGCGTTCTTTTCATCCTCGCGCTGTATTTTTGGGTCTTTGTACTTTTGAAAACGTTGAATTGACCTTTGAGAGCTCCCTTAAATACATCAGCTATAATTGAAGCAGGGCAAGCAATTGACTGAACACCATGTTAACTCTGCAGCACTTCACATTCCTCCGTCTCCCAGCTCAGTGTCCCACAAGGTATACTGAGTGCCTCCCCGGCTCCACCGTCCCAGGCTGGTATCTGCGTGTTTCGGGACATGGCCCGTTTGGGTAACGAGGGACGGGAGGGCGGAGGCGGCGCTGAGGGAGAACATCAAAGCGCGTCCAGTTCCGAACGTGAGCCGGGATGATTAAAAACGGAGGCTGTTTACACTGCACTTCCCATATGGGCCCTCGCATTTCCCCCCTCCCTCTAGATTTCCTGTCCATACTTCCTATCTCCCTGGATGAGATAACAGCCTGTCCAGGGCTCCTCGGGGCTCCTCGCCACTTCATGTGGAGGTGCTGTGGCGCATAGCTTTGCTTTTGTACACGTGGCATAACATAGATGCATCTGAAAATATATATTTATACATTTTTCCTGCAGTGGGTCCGGGTCCCTGGACTTTTGTTTTTGGTTTCATATCAGCCCTCTCAACTCCTTGTCGTGTGAGAACTGTGAGAAATCTGAAAATCATCAGGATGGGATCAGAAAATGGGTTTGACTCCAAATCCATAAAGTGTTTGAAGACTGTGTATACGTAGCAACAGGGATGGATATGAATTAAACGGTGGAAAGTAATACCCTGACAGTAAAATGGCTGAATATATGACCAGTGTGAATGATGAGTGCTACATTTTCACAATAAACTTAGTGCTTTGCCCTCACTCTTATATGTTCTTGCATGGGATCCTCCGATTGTTTGCTTGCTAATGAATCTAGAACAACCTCCAGGTTAATACATTAACAGTAGCAGTAGAAAAGGCATGAATTTGCTGCAAGCCCCAGTTCACATCCCCCATATGAGACCCCGACGTGAGCAGCAGGAGGACCACGTCCCTATCAGTCTTATCTGCCCCTCGGCGACACTGGCAGTCCTATAAAGGTACGAATGAAATCGCCATAAGCTCACAATTTCCCCCCAGCTTTGCCTTTTGAAAGGAACGCTGTCTTTTCTGTGATTTTAAAAGATAAAAATAAAAAAAGGAAGGCTACTCGGAGACGAACGTTAAAGCCAGCGTATCGCATAAGAAACACGGAGATTATTCACATTCCCTCATATCTGCCGTCGAGACGTGCTCCTCTTTTTTTTTTTTGTCTCCACATGGTCATCAGTTCAGCTGGTGCTTTTCCTATCGTCTCCTTCCTCCAGTGATCTGAGACCACGGTTCCATGTTGCCTCTGGCCCCCCCCCCACGCATGTCCGACCTCTCAGACAAAGCTCTGGACTAATGGTTTCTCCTCCTGAGTGGGGGGGGGGGTCTGACTGAACAGGAAGCAGCGGCTAGTGCCGTCCTGTCGGACCCTCTTCCACAGGAGATGGCCGCCGAGATGTTTCTCAGGGCACTGGGAATAAAAAAAGAGGAGAGGCAGGTAGAGGAAACAAATTTCTTAATCCCGCCGGCCCCCTTCTTTTTAAGTCATTAGACCGGGTCTGGAATTTATGGACGTCATACAACACATTCTTTTCTGCTTTTCGTCTCTCTCCTCATGCAAATAGCGAGCACACTGTCACCGTTCTACTCGGGTGCAAAACAGTCCCATGCTTAATTGCAAGTTTTTGTTTTGTTTTGTTTTGGTAGCACATCTATGTAGAGCATGCAAACACACACACACACACACACACATGCTAAGTACACACTCAATGCAGTATGGTAAAGGGATTACTACTGGAGCCACAGACAGGGCCGAGTTGGAGAGAAAAAGGGGAACAAACAGCATTAAAAAAAAAACCTCACACTAAAGTGAAGACCTGTCCTCCTCCACCCCTGTGTGTGTGTGTGTGTGTGTGTGTGTGTGTGTGTGTGCGTGCTTTCATACAGTTCATTGATCTCAGACAAAAGCGGTGGAAAAACTTGAAATGGTGC